ACACACACACACACACACACAGACTGGAGACAAGGAGGTGTGGGGTGTGGATACTGGAATGCCCCCTCTGAAATAGCAAAAGGATCACTAGTTCCTTCAGGATAAAGGTAACTTGTGGCTCCTCCACTCAGTAGTGTATCACATTGCTATTTAAAATTATGATTATCAAGTCTGTATGACAACTAGGGACAATGTTTGTGGTCTAATGCAGAGGGAAAAAAATTGTATATAAAAATTATATCTACATTATGATTCAACTATTAAAAATATATATGGTGACTCATGAGCTGACAAAGGGTTTTTGAGTTTCTTCCAGATGCAAGAAGCAATCAGAGGCATGCAATTTGGATGCCAAAAATATAACTTGTGGGATATTTGATGACAGCTAGAAAGGGGCAGTGGGGCAGAATACCTAACATCTGGATTGTCCTGAAGAGATGGGTGGTATAGCTATACACTGATGCTCAAAGCAAGAGAATGGCAGACTGGGAACAATTCAGTGTGTTAGTGTGGTCCACTGGAGTGAGTCTCACATTTTCTTTGACAATTTTACGCTGTTCATATAATACAGAAAGAAAAGCAAGAGCCCTATTCAGGCCTTTGGGACTGTGCAGCCCTTGTGCCCCTTCAGTTAGTCTTTATCACAGTCCCAGCCTGTGCCCCATTCCCCAGGGACTGAGGCTTCCTCTTATCATCCTCCCACAGACTCCACTGCTGACCCTGAAGCTGTCCTGGCTGAAGCCTCATCCCGGCTCTATTCCCGGTTTGGATTCTCCAGCTGCACCCTGCAGGTGGAGCAGTACCATCCTGAGATGGCCCAGTGTCTGCGCTGCCAGGAGCCCCCCCAAGCCTGAGCCTTGGCCCCACCCTCACCCTACTGCCAGACCCAGGCTCAGCCCTGGACTCTCAGCACCTGCCTCCCTGATCACAGAAGGGACCTTCCTCTCTCCATCTTCCACCTGCCAAACGCCCCAGCCCCAGCCCAAGTGGGCAAGACCAAAGTGTGTATGAGGAGACCAGGACGAGAGTGGGGCTGAACAGCTGTGAACAGCTCAGGGGCCTGGGGTGTGTGGAAGCCTCACCATCCTTGCTCCCCAAGGAGAGTCACACTCGTCCTTTCTGTGCAATTCATGTGTCTTTGTGGCAGGCTGGCTGGCTAGCTGGGGACATCTGCCTGTCTGTGTGCTGTTGGTGTGCCTATGCCTGGGGAGGTCAGCAGGGGCCCCCTCCCCACATGACCCTTGCTCTGTCTATGCAGGGGCCCCAAAACCTGCACTTTTTTGTGTGTGTCCTAGCCCTGTGGTCTTGTCTGTTGTGTGTGTTCCTTGGTGCTGTGGCCTCTGTGTTTCTGTGCCTGTGTGGCTGTGCTGGTCTCTGTGAGTCTGCTTCACCCATGTTTGTTTGGGAGTCTGTTTGTCCTTCTTGTTGGTGCTGTGCCCTTGGCTTTCCCAGAGAGAGGGAGGACTCCACTGCAGTTCCACCAATAAACTTGTATCTAACTGCTTCTCTCCTCTCTGTGTGACTCCTCAGGAGTGGAATCTTCACTGGAGTGACCACCCACACAGCCCTCCTGGCCCTTCACAGCCATCTACACATATCTATTCAGATGTAGGCTGAAAGCCACCAGCCTGCCCTAACTTCTCTTCTGTTTCACAGCTTGCTTCAGCCTTGGTCATTGACTCAGGAAGAGTCTCTAAGTGAACAGAGCTGGGTTGCAGAGGGAAACTGGAAAGCAATCCCAGAAAGTCCTCCCACTTACAGGCTCCAGCAAGCCAGGGCACACTCCTCCTTTGGGGGAAAGGGCAAGTTGTACTACAGAACCGATGTGATGTGGACTCAATCAGTCCTCATGATGTTTAAGGGGCCTGGAAAGGCCAGCAAGCCCTGATCCAGGTGGGGCCGTGTATGCATGCCAGGAGGTTCCTTTATATTTGTTCCCCATTTTTCTTAAAAATCATATGTCAACAGATTTGGTCTTACTACATGAATCCAAACTGGCCTTGAACTCTGTGTAGCTAGGATGACCTTAAACTTTCTGGTCCTCCTATCTCCACCTTCCAAATACTAAAATGACAAGACATGAGCCACTGTTTCCTGTTTTATGGAGTGGGTGCTAGGGACCAAACCCAAGGCTCTATGTATGTGAGGCAGACATTCTTCCAGCTGCCCTACATCTCCAGTGTGCATGTGCACATTCATATTCATCCTTTCTCTTGCTTTCTCACTCTCCTTTTCCTCCTTCCTTCCAGGGTCTCACTATGTAGCCCAGGCTGAGCTCTTGATCTCCTGCCTCTGCCTCCCAAGTGCTGAGATTATAATCTTGAGCTATCACACCTTGATGTCTCTTAAAGAAAGCAGATTCAAGCCGGGTGTGGTGGCACAGGCCTTTATCCCAGCACTTGGGAGGCAGAGGCAGATGTGAATCTCTGTGAGTTCGAGGCCAGCCTGGTCTACATAGTGAGTTCCAAGACAGCTGGGGCTACAGGGAGACCCTGTCTCAAAAAAACAAAAAAAAAGCAGATTCAGGATTCAGGGGCTGGAGAGATGGCTCACTGCTTAAGAGCACTGGCTGCTCTTGCACAGGACCTGGGTTTGGTTCCCAGCACTCACATGACAGCTAACAACTGTCTGTAACTCTAGTTCCAGGGGATTTGGAACCCTCTTCTGTCCTCTGTGAACATTGCATGACAGAGGTGCACTTACATGCATACATCAGGCAATACACTTACACATAAAATTTTTTTAAAAAAGAAAGCAAACTCTGTGCTTGGGTTTTAGACCCAGTGGTTTGAAGCAACAAGAGTTAACTGGCCTTTCCTCCCTGGGTTGATACGGTTTCCAGCCCAAAGCCAACCCTGGGCTAATTTTCATTAGCCCCATGCATATTCCTGTGAATCTTTCTCCCTATAATGAAAATATTTTTAACCAAAAATTATATTTTGTTGTAAAAGCAATATATCCTTGTTTCAAGGAGGGCTCCACAAAGGGGGAGCGCATACTGTAGGAAGTGAGTGTGTTCTGCACTTAACTCCCAGAAGTAATTGCTAAGCAGTGTGGGGTCTACTCACCCACCTTTTTGTGTGCATACCAATGTCTATATAACAACATAAATGGGATAGCTTTATAGGAAAGATGGTACCTGCTTTGATGACTACTGTGCATCCTGGGCATATCCTTTCCACAGCAGTGCACATGGATTTCATGACATTTTTCAAGATGAGGCTTTTGGACATGCTGACAAAAGGCCACCTCATGTCTAGCTGGGAACCTGGTCAGACTGGGCACTTAATGATGGCAGCAATGGCTGGTTTGGAAAGGAAGCTGGGGGTGAAGGGCTGGGTCCACCCACGCAGACACGCTGTGGGGGGGGGGCTTTTCCAGCTGCTCTCCATGCTTTGGGAGCTCCTGACACTTTCTCATTTTACGTCTCATTGATCACAGGCCCCAAGTTGACAGAATGGGGGTGGGGAAGACTGGGAAAATAGAGAGGAAAGGAGAGTGGGGAGGAAGAGATGATCACCCTGTGAAGAGCTTTAAGCTGCCGCCACCCAAGATGCCTGGTGCAGGGCAGGGAAATGGATGCTCAGGGCACAAAGACAACATGCATCCAGTTTGGCTATCAGCCCACATCCTACAAGTTCAGGAAGAGGATCTGAAAGGGCTTACTTAGGTCACCTGCCATGGACCTGGATGACAGATAAGAGCAGAACCTGGATTTCTGTCTTACCCCAAACCCGTAAAGCTCTTCCCTTCTCAGCTACAGTGTGACCTGCTGCACTAGCATTCCGTGCCCTGGAGCTCTGGGGCCAGTTTTGATGTTGCTTTTTGCTAATTCTGGTCACAGTCTCCCTGCATTTCAGCTTTCCCAGTGCTAACAGACATTTCCTGACACTGGGCGTAAGTATGCCTGGTATATGGAGGGCATGTACAAAAAGATTATTACTTTGGGGGAAAAGTCTAGGATGCAAGGAAAGAGGAACAGGACCTAGCACCCTGGCAGCAGGGACAGGAACCAACAGGTATTGAGCATGTACTCTGATCAAGATACTGGGAAGTAAGTTGTAGTCTTTGCACATTATAGATAAGAAACCGAGGCTGATCTGGTCATGTAACTAAGTGCTGTCAGAGCTGAGATCCAAACTTTGTTTTGGCTGCTGCCTCTCCATCCTCCTCCAGGCACCAGCTCTGTCAGGGACAGAGGAGGATGGGAAGATAGGAAAAGAGTCTCAGGAGCATTCTCTGTCATTCACTGGCACTCCCTCCTGAGGGAGCCCTGGAAACCCTTATCTGTAGAGCTGCCAAACCTCCTGCCCCATTATTCCTACCCAGTTGCTTATCTAGAAGTCCCTTCCTCCAGGTACTCTTCCCCAGTGATAAAATATATGGTGGGGGAGAAGTGAGGGGAAGGGGCTGAGGGAGGGGAAGCTAGAGAGTGAGGCAGGGAGAGGATCCAATCAATCCATCATAGCCTTGACATCCCTATGCAGCTGAGTGACTGGGGAGGAGGGAGAGGTCCTGCCAGCCAAAGGAGAGCCAGCAGAAATGGAGCTGAGCCTGAACCTAGCAGGGTGAGGTAGAGAGAAAAAGCAGCAGGAAGTCTTGAAAAGAGACTGGAGAAGGGCCAGGAGGAGCAGTCAGATGAGGTGTGGGGACTAAGAAGCTTGTGCTGCAGAGACTGTGCAGAGGGATAGGCCCTTCCTTTCTCACTGGGCTATTCACCTGGGGATGGCCCCAGGGGCTAGGTGCACTTTGACTGAGATGCACAGGTCAAGACATAGTATGGTCTGTCAGGCTCAAAAGGCGACATAGCAGGATTGGTTGATAAAGCAGTGTTCACTCTGGCCCCCATCACAGACTTCATGGCAGAGTAGCCTGAGGGGGTGCTAGGGAGCCCTGGCATCCAAGAGCCAGGTTTTCGGGAAGAAACACCCCTCTGCAGCCAGAGCCTGAAGGGAATTTCAGAAGCTGAGTAGGATGGGAAAATGAAGACCTGGCAGATCTTCTCACCTCTGTGGAGTGACTCTTAATTGAATGACCCTTCACCCCCAATTCTTCATCCCTCCCTTCCTCAGCTCAGCAGGCTTCACTGTCCCTAGCATGAGCCCCAGGCCCATCCCATAGTCAGTATCTTACAAAGGATGCTAAGAAGTTGCAGTCTCTCCTGTAGCAAAGCCTGAGGTCCCAGATGCAGCTGTGATCACCCAAGGTCCCACAGACAAACTGGGTCCTGTTGCTAAGAGGAGAGGAAGTGAGAGAGTAGAAGGAAGGAGGGATCTGGGGTGCAGGCTGTGGGAACCTGTGCCTCCCTCCTTCAGTCCCAGCCCCCAACCTCTGAGGATAAGAAGCAGTCAGGCTGAAGAACTTTACAGGGGACCTGACCCAAACAGCCCTAACACCCAATTGTATTTTGTTTCCTAAAGTCCAACAATTAACCATCAATTTAAAAAGGACTAGGGGCTGGAGAGATGGCTCAGCAGTTAAGATCACTGGCTACTCTTGCAGAAGACCCGGGTTCAAATCCCAACACCCACATGGCAGCTGCCGTAACTCCAGTTCTAGGGAATCCAACTCCCTCTTCTATCCTCTGTAGGCACTGCACGACATGGGTGCACTTAAATACATGCAGGCATAACACTCACACACATAAAAGCAAATAAAGAAAAAAATAAAAGGACTACAGTGGGACTCAGTTGTTAAGAGCATGTATTGTTCTTATGGAGGACCTCTGTTCCTGGGATTCACATGGAAGGATTCACAACTGCCTCACACACACATATACATAAAAACAGCCAGGCATGCTTGCACAGGCCTTTAATCTCAGCTCTTGGGAGACAGAGGCAGGTGGATATCTATGAGATCAAGGGCCAGCCTGGTTTATATAGTGAGTTCTATGCCAGCTGGATCTACAGGAAGACCTTGTCTCAAAAAACAAAATCTTAAAAAGGAGGGGCTGGAGTGATGGCTCAATAGTTAAGTGCTCTTGCAGAGGACCCAGGTTCGATTCCCAGCACCTATATGGCAGCTAACAATTGTCTTTAACTCCAGTACCAGGGGAATCCAACGCCCACTTCTGACCTCTGTGGGCATTGTATGACACAAGTACACTTGCATACATGTAGACAATACACTCATACACAGAAAATAATTTTTTTGTCTTTTTGAGACAGGGTCTCCTTGTAGCCCCAGCTGTCTTGGAACTCAATATGTAGACCAGGCTGGCCTCAAACTCACAAAGATCCACCTGCCTCTGCCTCCCAAGTGCTGTGATTAAAGGCGTGCGCCACCACACCCGGCTAAAATATATTTTTTTAAAAAAGATAAAAAGGAGCCAGGTATGGTGGCCCATGCCTTTAATCACAGCACTTGGGAGGCAGAGGCAGGCAGATCTTTGTGAGATCAAGGCTTGTCTAGTCTCCACAGCAAGTTCCAAGCCAGCTGGGGCTACAGGAAGACCCTGTCTCAAAACACACCAAAGTAATACAACAAGA